TAGTTTTATTTTTAAACACAGCTTCCATAAATGCATTTGTGTGGGATTGCAGTTGGGACCAGTGGAGAGCCATGGCACTCTGCCAGGCAGTCGCCCTGTCCCTGCAATACAGATGGATTGCCAGGGTTCTGGAGAAAAACAACCCCAAAACTTTAAACAAATTATGCCTAATGGAAATAAACATTTTTTGCCCGTCTCTATAATGATTTGGATAATGTGCTGGCTTTGTGTTTCTGGAGGACAGAGGAAGAGGGAAGGGGAGAGGAGGGCAGAGACAGAGCTCTTTGTGCCTGTAACTTGCTCTCCAGTGGATTCTCAGGGAAGGCTGTGGGAGAGGCTGTCATCTCTAAGCTTGGAGTGTTTTGTAACTTTCAGCCCGTCCTTCTATTAAAAGGTGGGCAGGCTGGCTGCTGCCAGCTATGATAAGAGCATTTATCTACTGGTTGGTTTCTTCCATATATGGATTTGAAAGACCAGGAAAGGCATACAGAACCATATAATCATTTAGGTTGGAAAAGACCCTTAAAATCAAGTCCAGTTGTTAACCCACCACTGCCAAATCCACCAATTAACCAGATCCCCAAGTGCCACATTTACACATCTTTTAAACACCTCCAGGGATGGTGATTCCACCACTTCTCAGGGCAACTTGTTCCAATGATCTACTTCTTTCAGTGAAGCAATTTTTCTAAATATCCAATCTAAATATTCCCTGGTGCAATTTTAGGACATTTCCCCATGTCTTCTTACTTGTTACCTGAGAGAAGAGACCAGCTCCCACCGGGTTACAGCTTCAGGTGGTGTAGAGAGCGATATGGTCCCTCCTTAGCCTGCTTTTCTCCAGGCTAAAAACCCCCTCAGCCACTCCTCATCAGAACCATGTTCTGGACCCTTCCACAGATCTATTGCCCTTCTCTGGAAATGTTCCAACACCTTAATGATTTTGTCATGGAGGGCCCGGAACTGAACACAGAATTCAAGGTGTGACCTCACCAGTGCTGAGTACAGGGGGACAATCCCTGCCCAGGTCCTGCTGGCCACATTATTGCTGACACAGGCCAGGATGCCACTGGCCTTCTTGGCCACCTGGGCATGGCTGGTTCATGTTCAGCTGCTGTCAGATGGCACCCCCAGGTCCTTTTCCACCAGGCAGCTTCCCAGCCACTCTGCCCCCAGCCTGTCATGTTGTGTGGGGTTGTTGTGAGTGACCCAGGTGCAGCACCTGACACCTGACCTTTGTTGGCCTCATGCAGTTGGTCTTGGCCCATGGATCCAGCCTGGCCAGATGCCCCTGCAGAGCCTTCGTGCCCTTCAGGAGATCAACACTCTGCCCAGCTTGAATTGCAAACTGACTGAGGGTTCATTCGATGCCCTTGTCCAGATCATTGATAATGACATAGAACAGCACTGGCATCAGTACTGAGCCCTGGTGAACACCAGTTGTGACCAGTTGCTGCTAGATTTAACTCCATTCACCACCAGTCTCAGGGTCTGGCCATCCAAACAGTTTTTCACCCAGAGACAGTGCACCTGTCCATGTCAAATATATGCTTTGTATATTTATTGTGTACAGTGTTGGTACTCTTTTCCATGTCGTGCACCTGAGTTTTGCTGGGTTTTGGTGATAAATGGCAATGCCATGAAACCAATACTTAGTTGAGATTGGCTTTTTAACATAAAGAAGGGCAAAGAGAGTAGGCTGCAGGCTAAAGCCTACCTCAGAGATGAAAAGGCACCATAGATATATCTCTGGTTTTTCAAGCTGGTGCTGATAAATCTTTTCTCTCACTTCTGTTGCTATGGTGTAGGTTCTTTGCAATAACAAACCTTTGGGTGACCATGTCAAATGCAGAGATCATTTGGAGAGAGAGATGCTGAAAGGGAAGGGAAATAGGAGGGCTCAAATTCCAGCTGAAGACAAACAGTGAATCAGTGTTTGTCTCAGCAGAGGGCCGTCAGAAATTTTGCACTTTTCTTTCACTGACTTCTTTTTGGGTCTAATACTCCACTTTGAAAAGGCTTCTTTTTACCTTCTCAAATCTTTCTCTTCCTCTACTTTTACTTTTTTTTTCTTAGTGCATAAAAGGAAGGTGGATCTTTTCCAAATTCCACACAGCCCAGGAATATTTGCTTTCTACAGCATGGCTCTAAACACAGAGAACTTATTCTTGCAAATGGTTTGATCCTCCAATCCACAAAATACTGGATCAAATTTTGAAGGTTTTTGTGGTTGAAATGTACCTGTTGTCCTTTTTTAGGCAACAGAAGTGGTCACTAGACTTCCTTCCAGAGAAGCTGCTTTATCATGCTGTCATTTCTCACATTGCTTTACTGGTGAAGAGGAAGCAAAATAGTGTTAGGGGGGAGCCTTTACATAATGCTTTCCAGTGTGCAAAGGACATGCATTTGGTTTTGTTCTCAAAATATACCTGTTGTGTTTAGCTGGCACAACTGTTGTGAAGAAGTTATCTTGCCCAGATGTCTTATGCTTGTGGAAAACACTGTGCTGGAAATGCCTGGATTTGCCTCGAAGGCTTATTTCTATTCCTGGGTCAAGGCTGAAAGGGAGGACTGTTTTCTTGTTTTCTGAATGTTTCTGTGCAGATTGAGCTGAAAGTTCAGGAAGAATGTAGAGGGGTAACCAATCTCAAGTGCTTACTTGCTCTTACTGCTTTTCAAACTGCAAGTCCTGAAAATGGATTAATTCAGAATTTTGTACCTTGGCAACTGTGAACTTTCTGACCTAGTTAAATAGACCCTTTGTTTTGCTGTTTCCTTCCAGATGTGATAGGCAGATGGAAAAAAATCAGAAGCAGCAGTATAGTAATCTGAGATTTCTTTTAAGGATATCAACTGATTTTTCTGGAACTTGGTTGAAGAAGTTAATTATCTCTTTCCGTGTTTTTTAGCCAAGGTGCAATTCACTTCATTTTGCCTTCGTTTTGCAGACATTAAGGCTGTCCCCTAGCCTCTGTGCTGCACTACTTGTGAGAGTGAAAATATGTCAGGACAGCCAGACCTTCTGTGGACTGCCTCACCTGGCCACAGCTTAGCCAGCCATCCCTGAGCATCCACACCAAGTCTATCCTCTTGGCTTGCAGGGAGTGGCTGCCCACCTGTGAGCAGTGCCTCTGTTTGTCTCCTTGGAAGAGACACACACACAGTGTTTTCCAGTTGTATTGGAATCTGCTTAAGGATTCAAAGGGCCCCAAGCCATAACTGTTAGTAGGAGCATATAGTAATGGGCAAGCAAAGGTGGTCTCTGAGGGAGGAATTGGCAATCTTTCAATTTGCTTTTGTGCCATAGGTACATTCAGTTATTCTGCTCAGGGAAGCCTGGCCCAGATAAGAGTGCCTACACAAGAAAAGTAATTCAGCTCTGTGGATCAGATGGATTAGCAACTAGCAAATTAATATAAGGCTGATAGATCTCTGCTGGTTTAGTTTTATTAGTCTGATCCTGTCTTATATCTTTACCTTCTTTAAGGCACTCACTCCTTAATTGAAAGCAGGGCCATTTCTGTAGGGTGGGAAATTTTAGTAGAACAAAACTCAAGCAGAAAACAGCATGAACAGCAGTCCAGTACTCCTCTCCCTCCTGTGCCTCTGACACCCTTCTTCACTAGAGTTGAACAAAAAGAAAGTAGCAATAGAAAGGATCATGCAGGTAAAATCAGATGCTAATTTTAGTGAGCACACACCCATCTTTCCTCTCAAAGATGTTCCTGGTTTGGCATTTACAAGGTTAAGTTGTCATTGATGCAGTAGGTCTCACAGCTGGGTGAATTGAATCTTACAGCTTTTGTGCTGTGAGCAGCCTGGTGTGTTGGCTAGAACATGAGCCAGCTCTGGCACTTACACTGGACTAAGGTTAAATCTGGTAAGAAGCTTCATGGGATCATCAAGTTCCATGAGCATCTTAGGGGTCTGCAGTACATCATCTTCATCAAAGCACACTTGGCATTAAATTTAGGCTAAGTTGCTTAGGGCTTTGCCCAGTCAGGTATTGAAAATCTGGATGAATGGAGTTCCTACCACCTCTGTGGCACTTCTGTAAACAGACTGCCCTTGTGGTAGTTTTTTTTTTGTTTGTTTGTTTTTGTTGGTTTTTTTTTTTTTGCCTGATTTAGTTAGAATCTCCATAGTTTTGATTTATATCCTGATAAATCCAAGTCCTCACAGTAATACTGGCCAGCTCTCTTAAGATCCTTGCATGTATCTCATACAGGTCCAGTAAGCTTCTTTGCATTGGTATTTTATCAAGAGAGAATTCCTCAATCCTGTTGCAGTGCAGGTGGTTCCTCTGCTCTTGAACCCTGTTTTGGTACTGGGACTAAGCCCTCTAACACAGTGACACTGTTTTCATGCCTTCCTGTGCTGTCTGAAGCAGGCTTTCTGCACATCTCACCCCAAATCTTTGTCTCCTACCTGGCTAACTGCCAAAGTCTGCTGTTGGAAGCTGCACCCCTCCTTGCCAGCTAAATAGCTGTCTCAGTAGCAGATGAGTTTCTACAGATCCTGAGTCATTTGCTTTTGTGTTACCTTTATTCTGTCCTGAGTGCTGTTTTGTGCAATCCAGTGGGCGAAGAGCACAGCAGACCTTCATTTTATTAGTGGCATTAATCCTGTTAGCTGATTCCTTTTCCATGTATGTGAATTTACCAGGAAGCTGTGTGAACATACCAGGAAACTGAGCTGAAGAACCAGATGTTGGTTTAGGGTGGAGAAGCACAGGGAGATGTTTGGATGGAGGGTACTTGCTGGTGGTGACTTTGCTGTTTTTCATGGAATTAGAGCTATACTGCTGAGAAATAAGTGTCTGAGTAAAGCTTTCTAACATTCAGTGATGTGTAAATTCTGAGGGATTTGGATAACATACAAAACAAAGGCACTGTGTAAAGTAAATGTCATTTGTGTGGCAGCAGCACCTCGGATGGTAGCAGGGACAAGAGCTTGGATCCCCTATATGTTAATAAAATGTTTCTCTCTGGTTTCTTCAGCTTGACCTCACCAAACCCATTGAAGATCAGGGCCCTTTGGATGTGATCATACATAAACTGACAGATGTAATCCTTGAAGCAGACCAGAATGACAGCCAATCACTGGAGTTGGTTCACAGGTTCCAGGTAAGTAGTTCTTTCTGCATTTCAAGCAGGGGGATGATTTTGGTGCAGCAAATTCAGTCTGATTACTATGCAGTTTGTAGGGATTTGATGAAAAGAGCTGTCTGGCATACTGCTGACTTGCTGCTGATAGCCCAGCAAAAGTGGTTTTGTCAGTTAAAAATGGACTTGCACCTTGGGAAGGTTTTGTTTTGTTTTGTATCAGTATGGTTAGTTAGAACTGGTTTCCCACCAAATGTTCTTGTGTCATTTTAAGGGTATTAGTGGTGCTCACAAAGAGGAATGGTTGTTTGCAGATCACTTTACGTGATTCCCTCCATGACAGAAGCCACTGAATTAGTTTGGCCCAGCTCTGTCTAGTCTTCCCAGTTCCCGGAATGCTAATTTCTGCAACGTCAAGATTACTGTGAGTGACTCTGTCCTCTAGTCACTAGCTGAAAATCCTGTTATATTACTTTTTTCCCTTCAGGTTTACTTTGAAGGTCAGAAATATGCAGGATGTAGTGGTACAGAGAACTGTTTTCCCCAAGAAGTGTCTTCAAAGATTCTCTCTCACTTACAAACTTTTTTTTTGGAAGATAGAGGGTAGGGTCCCTGTAAGGACCCTACTCTCTGAATTATATCCTTCCTTAAGCTTTTGTTTCTGCAGATGACTGAGTTGTGCCGCATCACTGGCATGCAGGAAGCTCCCACAGTAGTAAAACATAACCAGTACCCAGTGGTGCAGAGCACAGGCCTTTCTGTGTTTAATTACATGCCAAGATGTGTTTTTAGAGTATACTCTCATGTAGTTTCATCTCCAGGGCAGAAGATATCTGCAAATTCCTGCCTGTCTCTGTTCTAATGATATTGACAATCATTAGCAATTAAGAGAAGCATATTCCATGAAAAAAAGAAATAGTATGAAAATTTTAGTATAAAGTGTGTGGTACAGGGTTGTTGTTTTGGTTTCTTAAAAATTAATGGGCAACCTAGAGAATGAACAATGTCCCTGTGCAAGAAAGCTGTTTGTAGAGTGAGGTGTTATATAAGCACTGTGGTATTTCTGGCACTTACACCCAAGTGGAATTAGTGTCGTTCCCTTATTGTTGATTAAGTTGACTGAAAAAGTTCTGATGATCTTAACCAGACCAAACAGTGCAAAATTCATTATGCTTTTTTTCCTGCTATTGAATATAAATGTGACGGCAAGATGATACCTGGCAGCAGTCTTACTGTTGGCTCCATAAAGCAGTCTTCCAGGAAGCGGACAGCAAGGGATCCTTGACCACAGCGGGAGGAATGATCTGCCAGACTACATTTATGACCTTTTTGAGAATGAATTATTTTTCAGATCTATGTTATAGAGGCCTTGACCATCTAATCTGCAAAGAGCTAAAGAGGAAACTGTCTTCATGTTTACATGACTCCATGTCCCTGCTCTCTGGAGTCTGTGATGAGCCCTTGTAGGGTCTGGCAGAGAGTGCTAATACAACAGGAAGCCTCTTGGCATGCCATTTTCTGACTGTTTTCAATTGCCTTGGAAAAAAAAATACAGAAGAATGAAAATGATGTGGAGGAGTTGCCTGTTGACAGTGGCATTTTTAGCTCCAGAAGACCATTAGGGCTGAGGTTTCTGGAGTCTTTGTGCTAGTTGGATGTGGTATGGACTGCAGTTTCTCGGGAGAATATTGGTGGGTGCAACTGTTCTCCACTGCGCTGAAAACCAGTGATGAGTGCCTGGTGATCTCATCCAAAGCCAAAACAAAGATTGCAGGCAGCACCTAGTGTAGTATGTGAGATTAAAAGTGGAGAAATACTATTACTTGCTTTTTCAGCCACTTAAATCCTTATTTTGGGGGATGATGATTATTTGTAGAGATGACGGTCAGTCTCCCTCCCTGCCCACTGTAACACAGGGCTGAGCTGACTGAACACAGGTATTTAGTTAACTGAAAATTGATTATAGTCCTCGGTGGTTCCTTCTTGACCAGAGGTACATGGAGGGAAGTCAGGTGAAGAGGCAGAGTCCCCAGGGTGACTTTCACTTGCTGGTGCTACAGTTCCTGCCTTCTTGGTATGGAAGAAAACCAATTACCTCAGTTCCTGCCTTCTAGACAATGTATATGGCTTTGAAAACTGAGTATGTTTTGGCTATGTAAGACTTTGGGGAATCTTTGCTACGCTCTCATAAGAGCAAAATGCTCTCTGAGCAGCTCCCTGTCATAGCCATACAGGGCCTTGAGTAGCTTCATCCATTACAACTTCATATTGCATTCAAAATGATGGCTCGAGTCATGGAAAATCAATAGGGTTATTAATTTGTCTTTCAAAGTTTTTTCTGAGCAGATTCTCTTTGCATTAGCCTACTTAAAAAGACAGATCAGACACAGTTTTTATGTCTAGTCTTTTGCTATCAGGTTGATGAAAATTTAAAATGTTTCCTCCCCTCCTGCCCTTCAACTCTTCACTCACCCACTCTGGAGTTGTGGAAGGACTCTTCTAATCTTGATTGAGAAGCTTTTTTAGAAGGGTTTGGGACTAAGAGAAAGGAAAATGAGGGAGATAGTTTGGAAGGGAAGGAGGTAGGAGACTTCTCAGCTGAGAAGAGGCAAGCAAAAGACCAAAGGAAACTATTATGTCATAGTAATTATTTTCTAATTGGAGGGACAGGTTAATACAAATTTGAAATAGTCTATTTACACCTGAATTCACAGGCCAATACCTATGTTTTATACATTTGAAAAATAATGATGTCTTAAATTATTAGAAGAGCTTCATAACTAAAAATTTGTCATTTAAGTGCTAGGGGATAGGATAGCTTCCTGTGGATAGGATTTGCAAGATGAAGGAGCAAAGGACATCTGAAGGCTACACAGGGCAGCTGAATACTCAGAAAGTTTCTTTGAGTTATACAGAGAATAGAAATGTAACAGAGAAGATGAGTTCCCCCTTCCCCTTGCTACACCCCTCATTCCTCCTAACCACTGCAGAAATCTCATTCAGATTTACAGACAAACAATTTTGAGATGAGTGTTTACTGAAGACCCAATATGCCTTCACCTTTCCTTTTGGAAGGAGGTGTCCATGAAAAGGGACCATCATAGCCTAAAACAACAAAAAGGAGCTTTTAAATCTAAATCTAATGCAAACACTTCAGACAAGCTTGTGTTTACATCTCTTTCTCCCTTGGAAAATGTTGACATGTTTTTACAAGCAGTCATTGTCATGTTTCTGTATGTGGGAAAACACAAATCCAAATGGCATTATTGTTTCTTTTGCTTCCTTGTTTTCTTTTGAAATATTTTTTATGGAACTTTGTTTAATATTAAACAAGACATTATATAAGTTTTATTACTTATAGAGTGATTATCTTATCATCTGATGGCCTATTATTTGCAGTAGATACTGTATCAACTTTCTGTTAAAATATAAAAAATAAATCATTAGCTACCTTTTTGGGTAAAATGGCAAGCAACTCTATTCTCATCTATATACAGGCTTCTCAAGGAAAGTATTTTTTTTAATTGCTGGGTAATATCCAGAGTTATTTAATAGGGAACATGAAATTTTTGGTCTCTTCCTGGTTTCAAGTTTCATCATTGGCCTTCTGGCAGTAATGGGGCTAGTACAAAACATGACTTAACACCAGGCCTGGAATACAAACAACGGAGGATGTGCTAATATTCCTTGTTTGTTCTTGTTTGCTTTTATTATGTCAAAGATTAGAAAGAGGAAAATATAGATGTTGTCTGGGTCAAGATGAACTGCAGCCCAAGGACAGAGCATGTTCAATCTATTGTTGGAAAGTCTAAATATCTTCCATGTTGTTGTCTGGGTGGTTGGAATCTGCTGTTGGATATCAGTCTTCAGTAAATCCACCAAAGCAGAGAGCAGAGTTGTTTTGCAGGAAGGATGAGAAAAGACTTGCAACTTCAAAGTTGAAAGGTAGTAATGTACTGAAGAGAGTATTGCTGTACTCTCTTGGCTTCAGTGTTTCTCTTTTCCTTCTTCAACTGCTTCATTTCAAGTTCATGTCTATAGTAGCTCATCTGCTTTCACAATAATTAGGCAGAAACCCTACATGTTTATGCAGATCTGTATTTCTGGTAGTGGAGCCACTCTATGTTGTGGGAAGAGTGCTGTTACTTGGGCTACATCAAGAGTTCTCCAGTCTCTTAAGTGATCTTCACAGGTCACTTAGTGGTGCTACAGTTCTGCCTTCTTGGTAAGAAAGAAAACCAAAGTTCCTGCCTTCTAGACAAAGTATATGACTTTGAAAACTGAGTATGTTTGTAGTACATGCTGTCTGAGTGTGCAGCAGCTGCTAATAAAGAATTAAAGTTTATGAAAGGTTTCACATCAGCTACCATAATTGTTCCTGTTAAATGAACAAAATTGACTTTTCTTCTTGTAATTTCCTGTTGTAGACAATTGGTAAGAGGTTCAGATCTTTTAATTACTTCTTTAAAGTAGTTTTCTGTGCATGGGTATTGAAACTTTCTTTTGCATGTGTTGGTGATGTACTGGTGAGTGGAGTGGGAGACTGGGAAAGTGCTGGCAGCCTAAAGGCCTAAGGGGAATCTGGAAGCCCCTACACAGTTTCAGCAGTTAGTCTCTAGCTGTGTTCAAACAGAAAGGATACATACAAATACACTGATCTTGTTCTGCACTGAGAGTCTCTTTGAAAAGAGGCTGTTTCTGGATTCAATTAAAAGGAGAGACGTCTGGTCTGTCCCTAGATGAGCTCTAGGAGGCACTTCCAGTTTGAGGTCTTCCCTTAGACGACACAGATCTTCACTGCTCTGGGTTTTGCCATTCCTGTGCTTTCTAGCTGTCCAAGTTCCTAGGTCTGGAAATGGGTAAGAGTTGGAGAATAGTACCTGACATAGATTTAAAGCTGAGAAATTTCCTTGTTTTTTAAAGAAAGCTGTTCTGCTCAAAGCTCAGAAGCCTGTTGTGTGTTTGAAGGTGTCTTGTGTTCAGTGCAGTTCTTCTTGACATTAGAGTAATTTGTTAAAGTTTTCCAGACTCTAACTGGCTTTTGGAAAACAGTTCCCACCTCCCTCATCTTCATCAGCTATTTCAAGTTTGCCTTACAGAGCTTTTTGGAGGTTCCTTAAGGCAACAGGAGGAGAAATAAGTCACTGGAAAGTCAGCTTAGATGCTCATTTCTCTTGACATGTTGACTAATGTAGAATGGCCTTGAGATCATGCCTTATTCCTGTTAAACTTTGTTATGCTGTGGCAAGCTTAGTGCTTGAATGATTTTAAAATATGGTTTAGGCCTATTACCATTAGAAATAAAGCACTGTGAGGTTTCCTTATAGAAAGCACAAAAAAAGCCAGACTCCCTCTGGAAATATTTAGAGTAACATGAGCCAAATTAACAAGTAGAACACATGAGTCCCAGGGAAGCAAGGATAGTTCTCAAGGCTGAGGTGTGATCATCAGGGAAATTCAGGAAGGTACACAAGGAGCTAAGAGACAGAAGAATCATTCCATCCTTGGAGGGCAGTAAAGGCAATGGAGTCCATAGGCAGGAGGAATGTATGTGTGAGGGGAAGGATCAATATATACAGAGTAGGGGTCTGGGCCAGGATGGAAATCCAGGGAGCTTGAAGTCAAGGTGGAACCAGAGACTGGTCGAGACAGACTGGTGGTCACCACAGTGTAAAAGGAAGAACTTGTACACGCATCAGAAGTGCTTGGCTGTCAGAGCTCTGCTGAGGCCACCTTTCAGAGCTGTGACATGTTCAGTCTGGGTGCTGTGCTTGCCTCCTCCCCATCAGGGTATGGGCTGTCGGTAAGGAGCTCATCGTCTCAGTGTGCTGGGAAAGACACACAGCGTGGTAACTCCCTGTCTTTTAAATGGAGGCACAGATGGAGGCAAAGCTGTCTTGCTACACTCTGGAGATGTTGAGACACTCAAGTACAGTTTCATTATCAGCAAGTTCAAGCTAATGCCCTAATCACTGGATCATGCTAGCTCCACAGGATGTGTTTTAGGTGCTGCATAAAAATGTATGCATAGACATGTGTGGATGTTTAAGAGGGATTAAGTAGTAAGATACTCTAGCTCTAAAAATAATAAAATCTCATCTGTATTTGAAAGCTGATTGCTCTGCTTTAGACTCTGGAAGTACTTGGGGCAGAAGACTCATGAAAACTGTATGTTCTGGGGTTTAGTGGAAATGAACCCAGCTTCTGCTCCACTGAGCTGATGAGGCTTTTTATCCAGGCTGTACTGCAAGGGTGAGACAGCAGCTAGGTCTGACAGTCTTGATGACCAGCTATGCAAAAGGCTTTCCCTTACTTTTCCCATGAAGCAGCAAGGTTGAACATATCTTTGGGGAATTCATTCTTTGTCTTCTGCAGGGATTACTAAATATGTCAGACCCAAATATTGCTGCTGAGGGGTGCCTCATGCCCTGTGAAGGAGAGCTGCTTGTGTCTTGTGGGTGATGCAGTAGGTTCATTAGACCCCAATGCTAAATCCTCTTAGCCTCAAACGAATGATCTCCTTTCAGCAGCCATCAGTTCAGACTATCAGTTCAGACAGGAAGCAACAGTTTCCAGTGCTGGGGTGGAGAAGTCTGCATCCCCAGGTAATATCTGGAGCAAAATCACTTTCTGGGAATAGTTATTGCATTCATTTCTCTCCAGCAAAGTGCATCTCCTGAGGCCATCTCATCATACTCTGAATTATCTTTTGTAGTATGTTTTCTTCTTTGAAAAAATCAATTTAAATGAAGTAGAATGTCATGGAAGTCTGTTAACTGTGGGAGCTTTTGCATGAATGGATTTAAGGACGTAAATGGAAACATTAGGTTGGCTTTGGGAAGTTGGGTGAAACAAAGAGATGCTAACTTTGTATATATTTGTCTAATTTTGAGTAGAGTAAGATGGATGTATGTTTCCCACTGACTTTATGAAGCCAGGTTGGGGCAATGATGAGGGAATTTGGCTTCTAAGAAACAGAAGGAAATTTTGTTGGGTTTGCAAGGCTGATACCTGGCAGCTGTGTCTGTGTTCCTGGCCAAGTTGCAGTAGTGCAGTCATGACCTCAGTGAACAGGGAATTGAGTTCCCAAGATGAAGATCTGTGAGGTCATTAACTTTACTTTGTTCTTGTAGTCAGAAAAGGAGAGTATGAACATAGAGAAGTAGCAAGCAATGAAGATACAGTGAAGCAGCAATCTCTTCAGCTCTGCCAAAAAAAATTTCAGCCCTTATCGTTCAGCCCTTGACACAGTCTTCAGCCCAGCTAGAAGACAGCAATAAAAACAACATAAAAGAACGCAGATATATTTCTGAGCCTAGTTCAGATAGTTGTGATGTTCACATGCAGTAATTGAATGCAAGGCTGACCCCAAGATAGCTGTATGCCATCTTTCTTCTCCTAATAGCTTTTCTCAGTCCTGCTCTCAGTTCTTACTATGGCACTTTGCCACTGGCTCCCTTGTGAGCTAATATGGTTGCAGCACAGGTTTTGGTACTGATAGAGTGTAGAGGAGGAATTTGCCATCTAAACCAGTTAGCTGTCATGTTTGTGTTTGTTTCAAGTGTCAGTGTTTTGACTGTCTGGGGACTTTCTGTATTGCCAAAGTCCGTTTGGCTCCCCTTGAAGAGAATCTGGACTTTTAACGTTGTATATTCTCTTCCCCATTATTTTCTCTTCTCATTATTTTTCTACACTCTTCAGCCAACCTAATGCTGTTTTTTGCTATATATTGTTTTGCAGGAGTACATTGACGCTCATCCAGAAACCATTATCCTAGACCCTCTCCCGGCTATTCGTACACTTCTGGATCGATCCAAGTCCTATGAGCTAATTCGGCGAATAGAGGCATACATGCAAGGTAGGCCAATATCTGTGCTCACTGGAGGCTATTATTGTGACTGGAGAAGAAAGCCGCTTCCCTCTGGAGGCTGGATGTGGAGTTTGAAGTAGTGGTTTTGTGCCCCTTGCATTGTCTCTCCATGGGAGCACAAACACTGAAGCATTCCTGTGTCACAGGATTGCCCTCTGGAATCCTGTGCTCTTCTTTTTCCATATACACGAAGGAGGTTTGTATCTGATTAAAAATACGATGTGGATTTAATGGAGAGCATATTTACCACAGTGAGCACTCTCAGAAATCTTCTGGAAAACATTGTCTTTTTGTTGTGTGCTGGTAAATTGAAATGACTGTACAAACTCAGCAGCTTGTAGTAAGAATCCTGAGGTCTGAAACAGAGAGAAGAAGAAAAATTGGTTTTGGAAAGGATCAAAAGAAATTAAAGTGTAAATAGAGCTAAGGTCTTTGAGAAGTACAGGAAGCCTATTGCGCAACCTAATTGCAAGGAGGAACATAAATTCATGTCTGGTGCTGGTGCTTGTTACCTGACATAAACTATTGCCCTTAACTGGTATCATTTGAGTTGCATTCCATGTTAGGAGTCATGCCTTTTCAACCTGAATAGTTCTATTACCTTCTCATTTTAACCATTGCAGCTGTTGGTTTAAGTTAGTCTTTCATTCCCTTTCTTCTTCTGCTGCTGTCATGTTCTTGAAACATTTATTGGCTTTTGAATTTAAATGTAGAATAGCTCTGAAGTAACTCTTTCATATGTTAGATGACTGTAATCGGGGGAAATTGCATTTCTGAACTATATTCTAATGGGATGTTATTGGAAATACCATTGAGATTGTATTATCACTGTCTTGGTGGGCAGGTAAGAAGCTCAACAATTTGTATTTTTATAGTTGTGGGTTTATGGATGTATTATTTGTATATAACCTGCCTGGCCCCACTCATACCATTCCTCTGTAGAAATAAGATTAATAATTCACAGCATTCCCTCTTGTCTTTTGGAATCTCTTAGGGAGAAATTCCTCAATTAGTTTAGAATGATTTTGTTTTGGAGGGGCTTTTGCTGTTTGTGAGTGGGAGAAAGGTGCTGAGGGAAACTTGTGTTCTGAGGGAGTGATTGGGATTTTGTTGTAACAGCAGAGAGATTCAGTAGAGTTTGGTTTTGTTCTTTTTTCTCTTAAATTGCTATCAGTACTATTGTTATCCCTGTGAGAACAATATGTTTGGGAGAGCCGTTTTTGCACATAGTTTGTCTTCCGCATATTTCAGCCTGCTTTGGTCAAACTGATGAGAAAAAGAAATAAGTCCTTAAGGAGGAAAAAGGAAATTTGTATTCAGGTAAGACTGACAATTCAAAAAGAAGCTGTTAATAAAGTTGAGGAATGAAGTAAGGAATGGCGTAAGCTATTGTCACTGGCTGCTGCATTTTAAACTACTAAAATGATTTAGTAACCATTTTTCCCCTGACCCTCTGACCCCTCCCCCCAGCACTTTCCTCCCCAGTCTTATTTCTGTCTCATAATCAGAAATATCATGACCAAGACCTTGAACCAACTCTGTATTTAGCAAGGGAAATCTCATGAGAGATGAATAATTGCCTAACTTCTTGTTCTGGCCCAAGTAGATCAGCCTCCGTATTCCTGCACATGATGATCTGCAGTAAGAGAAAAGTTATACCACTCTAGGCAGTGCTGTGGGTTTTCTCCCCTTCCTGGTTTTCACCTGCTAAGTTGTGTTTTCTTTGTTGCAGCTACCATCTCATATCCCAAGGCCATGAGCACTTAGAAAACCCAAACAAGAAGTAGTACATCTGTGAATAGCATGAACTCTTAGGAGCCACATCTTTATTGTTCTGGAATTTCATTATGGCAGTAACTACAAAGAAAATAATATCCTAGTCTTTAGCTGTAACTAGAGAGGCTTTTTTTATCACAGGATACAAAATTAATGTGATGGGTTAAGTTCAGTGCAAGGGATTGTGTCGTCTGAAGGAGTGTTGTTAACTCGGGAGGGCTGAGTTTATCTGTAAGGAGAAGCCTTCTGCTATTCAAAGTCTTTCAAAAGAAAATTTTGTTTTTATTTACAGATCAGTTTGGAATCTCAGTGATTATTGCCTCTATGTCAATTATTTTTTAAGTAACTATAAATGAAGTATAGTCTTTATTTGTGATCCTCAGTTTACACTTTATTTTAACCCTGTAGACTTTACGACAACTGTATAACTAAAGATTTGCACCAGTTAGGTTAAAGAGAGAGTGACTACGTGCTCTGTTGAAGTGACTGCATTCTGCAGCAGTAGGGCCCCATGGTTTATAAACAGTTTGATTTTAACTCTGATTATTTTTCAGATGTCCAAGTTACTGTCCTTTTGACAGAGAATTCTCCATGCTTCCTGAAAAGGGAATCCCTATTTGAAGTGTCCAGGCTGAGCGCATGGACATTGTTAGGCTTTCTGAAAGTCCTGTATCTTGCTCTTTATGGAGTCAAGTGTCTGAGTGATAAGTACTTTGATCCAGCCTCCTGAGAATGGTTGCTGAGACACTTCGTGGCTGAGACACTCCTTGTCTCTGCCACCAGCCTGTGGCTGCTAAAGGAACTGAGGCGGAGGGGAGGCGGTAACTCGGCCAGAGTTATACCAGCGGTCTGAGGGAAGGCATGGAGTCGAACCACGGCTTTCCATGTCTTACACAGTAACCCCTCACTCCTTTTGGAAATAAAAGGTTCACAGACTTGCCCAATCACTGAAGTTGGAAAAGGCTTCTTGAGAATATCTAGTCAACTCCCTGCTCAAAGCAGAATGTCTAAAGCAGGTTCCTCAGGTCCATGTCCAGTTGGGTTTTTGTGTTGCTCCACAGATGGGGACTGCATAACCTCTCTGAGCAACCTGCTCCAGAATGCACCTTGAGCCTGGTGTGCTAGCATGCTACTAGCAGTGCTGAGGTCATTTTCAGGGATTGTGGCTTTATTCAGTATAGACAGTGATACCTCCCTTGGAAGGAAGTAGCACTCTCTTCTGGGGGGAAAAAAGAGCTTTTAAGAGATATTTTAACACTGATTTTAATGGATTCTGTTTTGGAAATCAATAGTCTGGCTGGAGCTGTTGCTTCCTCTTTTTCCTGGTCTCTGTTATTTTGAGTGCAAGCTCTAAAAGAGCTAGTTATTCTGCAACCTGTGCTTCTGAATCTTTTTTTAAAAAGATTTGAAAAAAATAAAGGTTGTGTTCCAGCTGGTGTCCTCTATAGCTGCATGTTGAAATGAATCACTGAATAGACTTTTTTGGTGTCACAGTTGTTCTCTCAGCAGTTGTGTTGCTTTGTTTACTTTATCTGAAGAACTGCTTCTTACATAAAAGTGCTCTTGATCAGTTTCAGTGATGTTTGGTGAAAGATTAGGAGCATTATTTAGTAAAAATTTCATTTTTGACAGGGTATTGTATGGTTGGAACTGTGTCATCTTTTTTAAACTGTAACCTAATGAAAATAGTGAAATTTTCTGATTCTGTTTTGAAAAGTTGTGATGCTTCAGGTTTGAAATTCAAAATCTGAAACTTAAAATTATGCTTAAGATGGTAATGGATGATCACTGTGACTGGGCACTAGCTAAGCTTTTCAGATTACATTTTTTTTTAAAGATTGAAAGCTTTTGAAATTCCCTACATATCTTACAAGCAATAATCCAAATTGAAGAAACTTAAATGAAAAGTGAAGTAAACATGCTGTTCACTCAGTGTGCTATCTAGTTAGTGTTCCCATCTCCTGCTCAGCTTCCTTCTCTGTCTCAAGTGACTTATTGGTTTCTCTGATAACGTTTGAACTTTCAGACCCTGGAGTTAATTTCTTTAACCACTTGCTCCTGGCTTTTTCTTCCATTGTTTCCAAATTTTGTTGTTCTTAAATTTAGTTCGAAATCTCAAATTTGTACAGACAATAGTCTTTGTGAGGTTCTCCTAGAAAAAAAAAAACCTCCTGCATGAGCTGAGCTGCAACTCCTTAATTTCTCTCTTCCTAGCAGTTGTCTTTGAAGCATGGGAGCTATTTCCTCAGGATACTCTAAACAGTATGCACCCCATTAGCTTCGATATTTTCATCCTGGCACGTAATCAAAATTTTTTACATTTGATTGTTTACTATTATATAAGATGCAGTTGCTGCATTGTGTGCTTCTTTCTGTTTTTGGGGGATATTACAGAACAGATCACAGCATCCTTCTCTATCCCCTGGATTTCTTTTTATCAGAATCTGTTTGTCTTAGAAATACTCCTTGCACAGCTTCATTTATCTTTTGTTACTAGGAGGCAGGCTCAGTATGAAGAAATGAGTAAGGCATTTGATTTGGGGCTTGGGTTTTCTGCTTGCTGCATGATTTTGGACATGGAGTGTCACCCCTGTGCATCCTGACACTCATCTGCATGTCAAGATGCCACATTGTTTGGGCAGAAACTCTTCTCCAGGTGTACAAACACTATTCCCATATAGCAAGTCTCTGTGCCAAGCAAGCTGTGGAGGTATTGCTCTAACAGAAAGTGTGGACCTGTTGTTGAAGAGAAAACTGCATCTACATTTCAGCACCAGAGCAGATAGGTAGTCAGGTCTGGGTTTTTAGATGTTATGGAGCGTGTACATTGTTGGAGTAGTGCATACTTGGAGCTTCTCAAAATTAGGCCACCCAGTTAAAAGTGCATGAAAATAGCTGTATATACATAGCTTAAGGCATTCACCTTTTGAAACTGTAGCCTCTTTTCGCTGTGGCCTACTTTTCAGAGCTGTTTTGGTCAGAGGGGAGAGAAGAATAGTCACACAGGTCAACTTCATACCTCTTATTTTTATTTGAAGCTCCTATTAAATTGAAGTCAGATTTTTATTTTCACTTTAAGCCTCTTAATCACCCACCTGGCACTCACTTCTTTATGTAGGGACATATAAGTAAGATATCTTTAGTTTGAAGGCAGATGTCAGCTACTGTAAATAACCACACCAGTTTTTGTGTGCAGATTGTATGCTCTCTTT